GAAGTCCCCATCTATCGATACAAAGAAGCTGGCCCTGTAATCCCCCATGCATTTTATGCCAGTGCTTTAGGCTAAGACCAGCTCCGACTGTCCACCTCCCTGAGTGGGATACACAGGTGGAGGGAACAGTTACCACGGGACTTTACTACTGCAGGGTCTTTCTGGGAACGGCTATAGACAACATCAACGAGGCCACCCACCATTTAAGTGGGTGGACAGGAAGAAATTCTTCTGTTTTCTTAAAAGAGAAATGGCTGATACTAAAAAGCAGAGTTCGGAAATGGTGCCATCTCATCTTCTCTTTCGACACTTTCCGTTTCAAACGCTAACCGTCGCATCGTCCATTGCACCAGGCCTCCAGAAGCTGCAACTGACAAGGCAGTCCGGGCTCAGCTGTGAGGACAGGCATGTCGCCTCTGACCGACTCAGGGCTGCCTGCGGGTCAGACAACGAACGCCACTGCCCACCACCCGTCCCACTCTTCCTCCTCTTCTCCCACATCTTCCACCACACAGGGACAGGGACATCGACTAGTTTACAAAATCCCCTACCCTTCCCACATGACAGTGATTAGCTGGAAGTTTTGTTGCTAAAGGGTTAAGCTTAATCCTGTGTTACATTATTTTCCAGTACATTCCCTTGTTTGAAGCCGAAAAGAAAATGGTTTGGTTGAGAAGAGAGAGATCTCTTTAATCCACTCATTCTAACACCAGAAAGCACTTGATGTGTCCGCCTTTCACCCAATCAGAAAGGCCCTCTCACCTGTCCACAAATTGTTGTTCTTTCAGCTAGTGTAGGGCGGTATTCGAGGTCAAGTCCATTTAGTTAAAAAATTGATGAAGCGAGAGATGATAAAGAAATCTCAAAAGAGGTTTGCACAAACACAGACAATATGCCATTCACCGGTTGAGATAAAATTTCCATTCCTTCAATTTTGTCAATTTACGTTCTTTGAGTTACTGCTTCAACTGTTACATAAACTACAAGGAAGGAGCTGGCAGGTGTTCCTATAGCTAGACGAATATCAAATTTTAAACCCCGCTACCGCGTGTTTGTAGTTTTACACAAATACAAAGCACGCCTGGCAGGTTATTTTTAAGGGAGGGAAAATAAAAATACAGCACTGTCTTTTCAAATCTCTGCTGCACCAGTTCTGTGTTTCACACATGGTACAACTTCCTAATGAACTTTCTACTTGCATTCAGAAACACTTAGTGCTTACTACCCAGAACGCTTCAAAATACATATAAACGTAAAGGCAAGCACGTGCAAACCCCTCCCTACTGGAGGGGATCTGAATGGAAATGGGGCCATTGGTCAGCCACCAGGTCAAGGCCTGCCCTACTCTCTGCCCTCAAGGAGCCATCACTGCCTTTTGTGCACTCGCTGCAATAATCACCAAGACACTAAGATAAGAACAACTGTCCTAATAATCCTCACCAATAAAGCAAAACAAGATTCAGCTAATGAGCAGTGTGCCTTCCCCTTAGAATGCTGCCGGAAGCTGCTTGGGGAGAAAAATGGTCAGAGCGGCCAGCATGGAAAAGACAGCACTTAAGTCCAAGGGGTTACACACGTGGAGCAAGCACATAGCTCAGGCACAGTCACTTAGATAAGAATGCTAAGATTATCAATGTCATTTAGATGCTCTGAAACTCACATGTGACTAGAAGCTTCTTTCTTGTTTGTTCCAGGTGCAGGGAGAGAGGCTGTTGCTTCCAAGATAATTTGGTTGGGTCTGGGAATATTCAAAGAGCCAAAGAAAGAGTTTCTTTCTTTTAATTTCTCTTTTATTTTGGAACTATTTCCGATTTTAAGAGTTCCTTCCAATAGGACCCCCCCCCCCCTGTTCCTCCACTGTTAACACTATACACGCCCCCAGTACATTTGTCACCATGAAGGCACCGACACTGGTTACCCAGTTAACTAAATTCCAGCCTTCATGTGGATCTCACCAGTCTTTGTGTTTAGTATCCAGCCCAGGGGTCCGAAGTCCATGAACTGTGTGCAGTAGAGCTCATTCCAGCTTGGAGTGATTGTGTATGATCGGGGAGAGGTGCCCCTTGGGGTCCCTGCACTATCACCCTTGTGGGAACAGATGGCCGGGCTTTTCTCCTGAGGAGCTCCTACATGGGTTTGAACTGACCTTTCAGTTAGCAGTTCAGTGTTGAATCATGTGGGCTACCAAGGTCCCAAACTCATAGTTGTCAAGTTGATGACAACACACAGGGACCTACTGGGAAGAGTGTAACTGGCCTCCAGGCCTCTACGGCTGGAATCCTGAAGCAGACTGCCTATATCCTTCTCCCGTGCTGCAGCTGGTGGGTAACCAGCAACTTGCAGTCAGCAGTTGGGTGCTTTCATCACGGAACCACCAGGGCACCTTACTGCTTACATAAAATTCCCAAGGAAACTCAAAGCGATGGCCATGCAATTCTGACCCACAGTGACCCCACGAGATAAAACCCAAGCCAACGCACTGCCACAGAGTCTGACTCACTCACCACGGGGCGGATGCCCACTCAGAGCGACCCTAGAGGGCAGGGCAGAACTGCCCCGTGAGTTGCCGAGACTGTAATTATGGGAGTAGCAAGCCCCATCTTTCTCCCAAGGAGTGGCTGGTGGCTTCGAACGGCTGACCTAGCAGTTGGCAGCTCAACTGGTAACCACTATGCCACCCAGGTGTCCTTTCTGCCTCACAGTGACCCTAGAATATACAGGCTCCTTAAATTTGTGGCTTCTAGCCTCAGACACTGCGCTAACCCCAGGTATGGTAGTTACGTAATTTTATGTCAACCTGATAAGTAAGTGTAGGAGTGGAGTCTAGCCTGTCGATCAGGTCACAGTCTGATGGTGCCTCCTTGTGAGAGTGGCCTTCTCATGAGGCTCACACCAGCACTGATATGCTTCTACTGGCATTGGATCCAAGAATTTTCACCCACTGGCCGGCGATCTTCCTGCATTCAGCATCACTGCATGTGCTGTGTAAATCTCAAGAGGAATTTATGGACCAGTACTGGACATATGGGCTAATATCAGAGTTATGGACTCGAGCTGGACAGGGCTGGGATGTTTTCTTAATATACAGTTGCTCTTTGATATAAAGCTCTCTCTTACACATGAGTGTCCCTGGATTTGTTTCTCTAGTCAACCAGGTTTAACATATCAGGCTTGTCTTCTGTTTACCCAAGTACTGTAAAGAGGTTCAGGGAAGAATGGGAGTTGATGTAAAGTAGGTACCATGAGTGGGTCACCCATTAGCCCTTTTTGATACAAAAACTCACTGGGTGTGGCGTTTCCTTTCAGGACGATGAAATATATCGCAACGTGATTGCACTTGTGCATTGCGAAGGTACTGAATACCAATGAACTATTCATCTTATGTTCTGTACATTTTTTACACCAAACCCAGAAGGCATCAGCCTATATGAAGATGTCTGGCACAACTTGGACATGACTGTCACTCAATTTGGGAATAAACTTGGCTAAACTTTCTCAATCATGCCTAGTCTTTGCTTCACCCCTTTCCCAGACTTCTCACTAAATGAAGAGTAAAATCTAAATTCTGGACTAGAACTTAGTGGAACCCACCTGACCTGGGGTCTGCCTCCCATCTCTTCATCCCATCTTGCCCACCACTTGCTTGGGGACATCTGCTCCTATCAGACCCGAGAGCACACCCACTGCACACTGTACGCCCAGTGTGCCAGCCCTTCGGTACCCTGACTGTTGTGTCAATGGTCTAGACATCTTTCTGTGGCTTCTTACAAGGCCTGCTCCTTATTCTTCAGCCTCAGTGTACATTTTAACCTCACAAAGGTCTCCTCTAACTCCCCTAATTGGAAGGACGTCCTTTGTGTCACCTTTCGTCACAACTTGGATTGGGATGAGGTTCAAAACGTGTGTGGAAAAATTCTATTATCTTTTGATGCCATTTTCCTACAAACTTCAAAAAGCTCCCTCATATTTGCTAGGTTTTGTCAGTTGTATTTTCCCCTGGCACTCCTAGCACGGTGCCTGTCGCATGGCCAACTCTAGCTCACTGCCATCGAGTTGATGCTGGCTCGGAGCAACTCTATAGGACAGGGAGACCTAGCCCCTGGGAGTTTCTGAGACGGTAATTGTTCACGGGAGTAGAAAGCCCCATCTTTCTCCTGTAGAGTGCCTGGTGGTTTTGAACTGGCGGCTTTGCTGATCACAGCCCAACTCATAACTACTACACCACGTGGCAAAGAGACTCAATAAACAGTTGTGGAACTTGATGAAGCATTGGATATGACTGCAACCCACTCCCCATCATTGTTCTACTGGACAAGAGCGAGGGTGGAAAAGAGAGCAACCAGCTGCTCCCTGCCGCTGTCGGGGTGCGGAAACCCTCACACCCCAGGCAGGTATTGAGCTGGACCGGCGAAAGAGGCCTTCCCACCAATGGAAGTTGTGGGAGAGGTAGTTTCTCTTGTCATGTTTTGTTTTTTAAAAGACCATTTCCAAGGAAGTCCAATGTCTGAACAAACATCACTAGATGATTCTGGTCGAGGTGGGCTGTTGTGTGCAGGTTAAGGTGGCGTGAGGGCAGTAGGGGTCTGAAAAAAGTTGTTTAAAACCTGGGCAGGCTGTGCTTGGAGTGACTAAAGTATTTCTGATTTTTTAAAAGTCAGGTTTATTGAGGTATCAATACATGCTGTGTAATCCACCCTTTATGGGTCTACATCTTTCTGAATTTTGACCAAATTTGTCATATATTTTCTACCACAGTTAAGACACCAAATCTTTTCATCACCCCAACGTCCCCTTATCCCCCCTCCCCCTACACTGGAGCTTCTGGGCACTACTGATTTTATTTCTGTTCCTAAGGTTTTGCCCTTTCCAGAAGGGCACAACAATGGAACCAAATAGTAAGCAACCGTTTGTCTGGCTTTCTGCACTTTCTAACACGTCTCTGCTTTGAGGCCAGTGTTTCCTGGAACGCTTCTGAAGTAAGGGGCAAAAGGAGGGCTTACCTTTTGGAACACTTGATAGTTGGATTTTGACCATATATCAAGCTGGAAGGAAAAGAGAAGAAGAGGACCAACATCAATTTTGGTATTTTGATTTTAAGAAATAAATTTGTAACAACTGTTATATCGACTAGACCTAAACAAACAAATAACCCAAAACAAAAAAATCAAAAACCATAGATATTCTGTAAGTTAGTTTATTGTGCCAACTTGGTTGATAAACACAGGTGGGGCTAATTGAAGGGAGGAGGGATAAATGGCTCAGTGAGCCTCGCCTTTCTAGTTCTTGGGTCTCTTGCTTTGTGATGGTTGCACCAGGGTGCAGCTGCCTAAGCCAGTTCCCAGCTTCAGCTTGCAAGGCTGACTTCCTGCAAGACATCCCTGAGGAGAAGCCACATGGACCTATCCTGATGCAGCCCTGGGTGCTGGAGCAGCCGTGTGGAGACCCCTGCCAGCACTGAGATGCTTACACGTTCACCGACTCGGCTTTCCTCCTGCAGTCGGCGTCATTGCGTGTTTTGTGAGATGGAGAACTTTGTGGACTGGTGTTGGACATATGAGTTAATGGGTGAATGTTGGACTTATGGGTTTGGGCAGCACTGGGTTGGGATGTTTTCTTGATGCACAGTTAACCTTTATATAAAACTATCTCTTTTACATGAGTTTCTGTGGATTTGTTTCTCTAAAGTACCCAGACCAACACATTCTGGTACAGACTTCAAGAATTTCAGGGGTGAAAAGAATCTGCAATCCCTGTTTGGACATCCTCTATTTCAACCTGAAAAGTAACTTTTAAAACTGCAGAAGGAAAGCAGGATAAAGAGAGAAGTCAAATTTGGGTGCTTGTGCCCTCCAAGGTCCCTGTGAGGGGGCTCTGTCCTCACTTTCCCAGCCTCGGTGCTCCCCTCACCCCTTGCCCACTCTGGCTATTTTGCAAGGTCAGCTCTGCCCCAGGGTTTTTGCATCTGTCGTGCCATTTGGCTTGGAATGCTTTTCCCACAGGCCTTCACAGACTTTAGTTCAAAGGTCACCTGATCAGAGAGGCATCTTTAAGCTACCCTATATGCAATATTATTCCCAATACCAGATGTCTTAATTCTCTTAACCCTTTGGAAAATTCTAAAATTCCACAGCAATTTAAGTCACCTGATACTACATTACATCTTTGTTTACTATCTGTCTTGCCCACAGGGAGGGCAGGCAGCTTGTCTTACTCCACTGCCTCCCCAGGTCCAGGAACGGGGCCTAACACATCGAAGTCAGCAGCAGGCCCTTGCTGAGCGCAGGACAGCCAGCAGCCCCTAGGGGTCGGGCAACTGCTTCCTGCCAGGCACCACACTAGGGCTCTCACTCTCTCTGTTAATCCCTGGAACAGACTGCTGCGGCTGTTTCCATTAGCAATCTTCCTTTCTAGAGGATGAGAGAGTGGCTCAGAACTGTTCAACAGCCCACCGAGAGGCCTCTCACAGAGGAACTCGCCCGCCCGGGAGTGCTCAAATCTGCTTACTAAGTCCCAGGAGTCCCTGGGGGAGTTACTATTCTTAAATATACACATTCCTTGGTCTTTTTCCCTGGAATAAATGAGCAGTTTCGGAGAAGCCTCAGTAATTGATTCTTGTCTTTATTTAGCTTTCTTGGTTTGCTTTTGGTTATTTTTCAGTAGGTTAATTGTGATGCCCAGTAAGGTCAGGAACATCTGATCCAGGGTGCTCCCTACTGGACAAATGAGGAAACTAAAGGCCTGTGACAAAATGAATAATGCTCTTAGGAGACCCCAATCCTGTCCTCCTTCAGACACATTTGTTGAGCACAGGGTACTCTAGTGGCTCAATTTAAACAGAGTCACTTTGGTATTGCAGGACTGTATGATTACCCAAATCAATGGCTTGTCGCTGGTTCAAGAATTTGGAACAAGTGGATTACTGCCAGAAAATAATTGCCCAATGCAGGGCTGGGAGACAGCACCAGGGTAGTGCAGATTAAAAGAGGAAGCCGTCAGGGATCCCATGGGCGCTCACAAGTCAACTTTAATATACGAGTTCAAGACCCAAGCAAATTGAAAGACCTGGTCAATGGGCCTCTTGGAACCTGCCTTTGAGGTTGCTCAGTGGTCAAGGTTGAAACTTGAGACGTGGCTGTTTAAGCCTATGATACGTTATTGATTTTAGAGCACCAGAGAGCCTGGGAAGCAATCAGACAGGAAGACTGCACTAAGAAAACAGGACGTAAAATGTTATATTTGACACGGGACACTCCAGAGTTTTATATCTATTCTGAGGAAACACCAAAATGTGGCTTTCTGAAAAACTCCTTGGAAATTAAAGGTGGATTGTGAACAAACTGCAATCCCGTTCTCCCTGGCTACTTCCAGTTCAAAATTAGTCATGCAAATATTGCTGAGTTTGAACCGTTTAGAACAATAGCAAAGATGCCCTGGAGGTGGCCACTCCAGACCTCTGCAGGACTCCGGCTGGACAGCCTGAAGTTCCCTGAACCCCAATCCAGTCTAAATACTGCTGTGAGAGCTGTGAGCATCCATTCATCCAGTTGACCCGGAAAATAAGCGCAAACCCATCTCTTCCTTATCCCCACTGCCTGTGCCATTTCTTTCGTGACTCTCCACAAAAGCCTGGCGACACACTCGGGTCAAACCGCTCTGCAGAAAGCGGCTGCTGACTTTCAGCCACTGGCCCCTCAGGTAAACCGAGAGAGGGGAAGAGGAATTTTAGAAAACCTTTAGGTGTTGCGATTGTAATTTGACAGGTTAACAATTTCTAAGGGAGGAAAGTGGCATGCTACCTGCAGGTACCTCTGAAGGAAAGCCAGAAGGAGCACTGGGAACGGAGAAAACGACTCTGGGACAGGTGGTCCCATTTGGAAGGCTAAGCCAGGCTCACATGACTTTGCTAGTGCTGCCACCTGGCCCAGGGTTTAAGAACACAGCTCATTCAGGGACACAGGGTGAATGAGAAGAACTTTTTTGTTTGTTTCTATCTCTTAGCTCTACCAAATCACTACCAAGAGACAAGTGGGATGCCAAAGATTTTAGGTCTAAATTTTAAGAGGAACAACATCGATGTCTGAACTTGAAACTGAGATAGTTCTCCTTCCATTTTAAGCCTGCAGCGGTTTCCTCTCAAGCTCCTTCTGCTTACCCTTCTGGCTGGGCACCACCATACCCAACCTGACCACGTCCCAACAGACCCAAGGAGACCGCCGAGGAAGGATCGGCAGGTACACTAAAGGTAGAATTTTTATTCAAAAGAGGAACAACCACCCCCCCAAAACCTGTCATTATCTGGAAAATGTTTTCATTACGAGAGAGAGAAATATATGCATAGATTTAATTAAGAGCTGGACTCTCCAGACTAATTGTGGATTCTCAAACAAACCATGTCTATTCAAAGTGAGAATGGTGCTCTTTTTAAAAGGTGGTTTAAATATATTATTCAGTACCCTAGGGAACAGTTCCTACCATCTGGAACAGAAAAAACCCTTAGACAATATGCTCTATTTACCTGGTCTACATTGGTAAAAGAGGGATCCAATAACAATGGGCTTCCCCTTGTGCGGTGAGACACAGCAGGTGGTTTGCACTTGATTTTCTGCTAGATTTATGCCAGAGAAAGCCATTTAAACAGCATTCTGGAGTCAATGCCCTGCCTCTTCCCAGGGCCAGGAAGATTTCAGAAATTCATTTCAGGGAGCAAGGACGGATTCAAGTGAATATTTATTAGTTTCCATTTATCTGCTGCAAAGGTGGGCATGGTGACAAATTTTTTTGCTGGTTAAAAGATAGAGTGTCCTGGAAGCGGCAACTCTTTAGCCTAATGAATGAGAAATTATTCTCCACCACAGTGGCAGGAAAAAGACAGCAAAGTATCCCCACCTGATAGCCGGCAAGCCTAGGTTTTTAAATGGAAAAGTCGACCTATGATCATGGTGGCAGGTGCAGCCGCTTGGACTCAGAATTGGAACTCGTGTCTCAGGCATGGGCAGGTGGTCTATCCTTAAGTAACTGGAGAATAAACCCACAGATGACCAACAGCTTCGACACGGGCATATCTGCTCTCAGCAGGGGGACACCAAACCTTCAGACGACCTTCGGATGACTGAGAAGTGAAAATAGTGATAGGTCACATTGACTCCACACAAGTAGAAGTTGGAACAAACCGACATCACTTGACTGTCACTGAGTTGATCTGGACTCATGGTGACCTTACAGAACTGCCCCTTCAGGTTTCTGAGACTGAACATCGACAAAAGCAGCCCTCCTCGTCATCTTTCTTCCCGGGAGCCACCCAACATGCAGCCTACTCCAGCAGCGGGCAAGGTAAGTCTCGCTGCAAGGGCGACCATCTCCACCACATCTGCCCCTGCCCTTTTCACTTTTGAAATCCTTCTCCAAGCTACACAGATGAGGAACCTGAGGCTCGGAGAGGTTAAGAAATTTGCCCAAGGTCACATAATGAATGGATGGTACAGAATTCAAAACCATGTCTGTCTCCACAGGTACGTGTTCGTAACCAAGAGTGCCTTTCAGCCAGAACTCGATGGACTGCCTATTCCGAGCCCCTGAGCCTGTCACTTGCCGAGCTTTGCGGGTGCCCCTGCGGAGTTCGACAACATAAATCTGGTGTGGCAATCGTTGCTGCTAGGATTCATTTAGCAGCAAGTGAAAATTTTGGCAGCTTATCAGGAAGTTACCAGTTCTTTACTCAAACAGTGTAATGAATTATAAATTATCCCAAACGGGCACTTACAACTCCTCAGCCTCACTGGGATTTCAACTCCTAAAGACTTTATTTAGAAGTTTCATCTTGCACAGTCAACAGGTGATCGACAAGTCGGAGCGAGCACAAGGTTATGAACCGGCAATAGAAATGGATTTTCTCAGATGGTTGTTACAAGTGTTCAAAACCACAGGCTTACTTTTGGTCACCTTCTTAGGGCTGTCCCCCCTCCCCCAGAGAGTGAAAAAGTGAACAACCTTTTACAAAGAACACAGTGTTATAGGTTTATTATTCTCCAACTTTTCACTTTCA